GAGGCATACCCATTGCACAGTGCCATGTAGCCTGACCCATCAAAAGAATAATTTAATCTTCAGAACTTTCAAATTCTCATCTCTGAGCCACTTAGGTTCAATTCTTTTAATTAAAATTTAAATGAGATTACAATTCCCTGTTTGGAGTTTCAATGGTCACTAGGACTTTACAGCATTAGGCAATTTCCCTTTCATATTAAAGGATTTGAGAAAATGTCTCATATCCAAGTATTTTATACTATCCCAGTACTGTTGATCTGGATTTATTTTGCTGCCTCCTCTTTAACTGCTGATTGTTCCTGGGCTTGATAAGTAACATAGCCAGAAAAATGTGCATGGTCCAGATTTCCCCAAAAGTTAAATACATAAAAACTTCACTGTCAAAATTAATTTCCATATAGTATAAAGGCCAGCTCAGAACTGCTTTTGCTAAATATGCTGGTCTTTTTTGCTTTTCTCATTTTTCCACAGATTGTCTATCTTTCCCCCATTTCCATATTTTTATAAAATTATTAATATTCTCTGTGTACTCATTTACCTGTTCCTTCATCCTCTGACCTGAGTATACACAGTGCAGCAACATTTCTCACAAGTTATAAACTTGACCTGTATGACATGAGCCAGCACTTAAGCAACAGGTAGAGATGGTGGGTGACTTAATTAGAGCTGATTTAGTGACTTCTCTGAGGAGCTGATAGAAGCTTCTCCCATGTCCAACAGAGCCAATAGCAGCTGGCTCCAAGATGGACCTGCCGCTGGCCAAGGCTGAGCCTACCAGTAATGGTGATAGTGCCTCTGGGATAATGCATTCAAGAAGGAGGAGGGAAAACCCTGCAACTGCAGGCAGAGAGGAGTGATAATATGGGAGAAAAACAGCTCTGAGTACACCAAGGTCAGTGAAGAAAGTGGGAGAGAAGGTGCTCAGGCGCTGGAGCAAACATTCCCCTGCGGTCCCTGGCACAGACCATGGGAAGCAGCTGGGCTCCTGCTGCCCGTGGAGGTTCATGATGAAGCAGAGATCTACCTGCACCTTATGGAGGACTCCAAGCAGGCAGATACACCTGAAAGAGGCTGTCACTCCATGGGAATCCTGCAGTGGAGCAGGCACCTGGCAGGACCTGGGCCTCATGAAGAGAGGACTGTCACTCTGCAGGGGTTTGGAGCAGGTTTGCAGGCAAGACTAGTGACCTCACTGGGGAACAAACCTGGAGCAGCCTGTTTCCTGGGAGACAGCACTTTGTGAAAGAGATGCACAAAGGAGTAGCTCATGAAGAACGGCAGCCTGTGGGAAGGACTCACTGTGCAGAAGTTTGAGGAGGACTGTCTCCAATGGGATACTCAGGTTTGATTATTGCCTGGGTAGTGTCCAGTGGTAGAACAAAACTGTAAGAAAGTCGGGTGTGCAAATTCATGTCACCTATTTTAACCACAGAGAAGCATGTATTGAGGTCCCTTTCCATTTTTCTTTTTATTTCTTTTGTATTGTGATTCCTGACAGTGCTGACATACCCTATTTTATTTCATCATGTGAGTCTGAGTGTTGCTGTATCCAGCATTTATTCTATGGTCTGCCTCTCTGTTCTCCTGGATGAGAAGTGAAAGGAATACAATTGATTCAACTTTTGTGTCTTTTGAAGAGAAAGTGTCTTAAATTAGCTGCTAAATGTATTTGCCTGTTCAATTGAGAGAAGAACCAACTTCTGAAGGCCCCCAGCTAGGATACAAATCTCTTATACTCAGGTAGAGCCCTACTGTGGTTACTTTAGGCACAGGTTAAGAGCTGTAAGTTGGAAATGATTCCCTTTGCTAGACTTGTAATGAGCATTTTATTTTCTGATGACAAACTGTTTTGCTGATAGACTAAACTGACCTTGGAGAAGGTCAAATTTTACCTCTGAGTTTGCTACAGTTCTGAATCTAAAGAGTCCCTGACTCATTGTCAGTTATATCTAAACAGGACTCACAAACTCATAATTCTTCTAACTGAACTGAACTTCTCATGAACTGTGAGGCTCTATTTCTTTTTGAATTGAAGTATTTTGAGAACATGCCTTATGCCTGAAACTCTTCTACCTGCTGGGATCATATGGAAAGGATGATTCTATCTTACCCACTATGCTATTGTGATTCCTGGAATAACTGCCTCCCAAAAGTAAACACAGGTTTTATGCCTAAAAGGCCTAGATAGTGCACTCTAAGAGAAAATCTGCAACGCACACGCAGTGTGGACTGCCATGGAAACCAAGCCTGGGAGAGATTTGAGAACAAAGTTATTTGACACTGTGACAGTATTTCAATACTCCATATCTTCCTTGTAAAACTAGTCCTCCACAGATAATATAGTATTTAATTACAAAAGAGCATGAATAGAAAAACTCTTCAGGATCTTTTTAAACTGAATGCATTATTTTAATCACAGTATGATCAAAGGCATGCAGCATGAATCTGGCCATTGTGACAGAAAAACAACTTCCTGGTGTAGAAACAAGAGGGCTGCAGCCACACTTGTCATAGTGAGAAGGTTTGACTGATGCTGAAAATCAAAGCAAGAATTATCTATGAACCACAACACAAAAGCACTGCACAGTAAATCTCTCATCTAGAAATTAGACAGCAAGCGAGCAAGTCATAGATAACAAGAATGCCTCCACATGTCACTTCAGGGTAACATTTTAAGTAGAAGAATCCTAGAGAAGCGAAGAAAGATAATCAATATGGTTATTAATGACACTAATTTCACAAAAACATCTGGGAAATTAAGCATGCTCTTTAGGAGTTGTTTCTTGCAGTAACTTGTAAAGGAATTAATAAGTTGCAAGCCAAACTTCATGTCAATATATTGAGTGGTGTGGTAGCAATGATATTTATTTCAGCCTGGAAACTTTTCAGAAATGAAATACTAATATAGAAACATCTTGAAAATATTTTTCATATACTTTTCTTTTTGTTGTTTTCTTGCATGCAGCTTTACCTTTACGGCTAAATACTTGGGTTCTCTTGAATTTGAGTATCTCAGATTTAAAATATAAAAATAAATTAAAAACTTCTGGGAGAAAGAGGCACTTAAGTGAAAAAGTCTGTGTGTCACATTTAATATGACACATACAACAGTAAGAGAATAAGGTTTTGTCAAGTCTGAGGAAAACTCTGCATTCTGAATGCTTCTGCAGAGGCTCATAGTACACTTCCCTTTAGGTTGAGAGTGACTTGAATGAACACCAGTTAGGCATTGATTAGGGTCTAACTTTTTAAGTAGTGAAGCACAGATCAAATGTGCACCTAAAATTCAAATATCTTATGACAAAATCTCCTTACCAAGACAGACTCATTTTCACCAACACCGGCACTACACTGCCAGCATACTTGGAGAAAAGGCAGTTTGACTCATGTATATTGTGGATTTTAGTACAGCATAATATTCATTAAAGTGCAATCCTTATAAATCATAGTAAGTGCCTAAAGTTTTCCCACTTGGCTCAGTAAGTGTTCCATAAAATACTGGTTTCTTTTATTTTTAGTTTCTTTTGAGTGGAAAATGAGCATGTTCTATGCCATTGCATGCTGATTTGACCTGAAGAAAGTACTATTTAATATATGCATAAGCTTAGATTCCACTGAGAGCTATTCATGACCAAATGTTTAGTTGATTGTGTTCACGATTTCTAATAATTCAAAAAAGCAAACAAGAAAGTGGTTGGCAAGCAGTGATTAAGAATACCTGTTAATCATAATCATTTTTGTCTAACTAGTTAACATAGTAATTATTTCTTGATTGGAAAGCATTTTGAAGAAGAATACCTGAAGCTAGTCTTGAATTTGGGCACAAACATTAAAACAAAAATCTAATTATCTGCTACATAATAGATCTGAAAACACTGCACCAGATTTCTCATATGTTAACTGTGATTGCTGCTGTTTAGTAATCAGTTTTCTGCCTGCAGCATCATCTTTGCCTATGAAATGAATGGTATTGAGAAGATATGAATCAGCTTGGAAGTTTTCAAAATCAAATCTTTCAGAAACAATGCATTTACATGAACTTAAGAATGATGAAGTAGAGACACTCTCCAAACCATTCTGTTTAGAACTGATGTTTTCCCTGTCAGTCACCTGTAGATAAGGCTCAGCCAGGGACCTTTTCCCCATTCATAGCTGAATCTTTCTTCTTTCATCACTGTAGCCAATGATTTCTGTTTTGCCCATGCACCTCTGATTTAGAAAGGAAAAGAGCAAAGCTTCAGGTAGCTTAGGTATGTGATGAGTTTGGCCTCAGGTCCTGGATCAGCTTACAAACACTGCTGTCTTTCTTGCAAGGACACTGGAACAATAATAACTTTATGTTTTTCTTCCAATAGTCTGAGCTTGTTACTGGTTTCCTATGATCACACATTTGCATAGGTGTAGAAAACCTATAATATTTTATAGCCTAAGAAGAATTACATGGTTGCTGTCATGGGAGAAACATATATCTTTGTAAAACTGAGCTGAATTTTACAAAAGTTTTTATAAAACTTTCCTTTGCTCTTAGTCTTCTGGTCTTCTAATGTGGTTTGATTTCAAGATTTTTTTTTGCTGTTGCATTTACTCTGCTTATTTTCTAATTTGAATCATCAGACTCAGCTTTTCATAACATTAAATTTGTTATGGTTTTGTTACATATAACAAAGGAGGGAATTCAGCTACCTGTTCATCATTTTTTGTAGTGGCTGTGATAGCAACCTCTCAGACATTACAGAAGTAGGCACATTGTCACTTACGCCACCCCTTTTCCAACACAAATTAGCTTTTCCTACTCTATCTTGATTGGAAAAATTAACTAATGTTTCCTTCACCTTTCTCATAGCCAGATACATCCATAATATACCTATAAATTGTCATTATCTGTTATTATACTAGGCATTCCTGTTCTAAGGCTAAATTTGGCTTTAATGCTATACAAAAATCTAAAGAACAGTAGCTATAAATCTTACAGCAATATATACCAATTAAATCACAATGCCTTTGTGAAAATTTTTTTCTGTTCTCTTATTTATTGACAGATTTTTTTTTTTTAATTACAACACAATGAAACGATGGTAAGTACATAAGATGCAATAGTATAAAAAGCCATTTTAACCCTTCCCTTTGTTAAGACACTTACAGCAGACAAGAACTGCCCCACCCCAATTCCCCCCTTCTCAAATGAAAACAAAAAATAAATATAAATTAATAAATATAAAACAAATCACTGCACAGCCCTTAACTCTTTGATTGCCATGGCAAGAACCATAATGATGATTCTAGCGTGTGACGTTCGGTGGTTAAAGGTTGCCGCAGCAGTCAAAGGGTTATAGCATTGTAAACATAAGTACTTTGTTGAAAATGTTCAGTCATGTTAATGGTCTACAGCAATGAGATTATCATGACCCCTTGACCTTTAATGACACAACAGTATAAGGAGTTAAAGAGATTAGCTTGGTGAGCTGTTACATAGATTAATTAACCCATTTAGTTTAACAATGCACTATGAGGTCTTGATTTACTAACAAAAGACTACTTGTGTATAATAAAACACTGTTCAATGCATTGATCAATAAAATCAATGAAAAAAATCAGTCTAAGCACCACAAAATTTTGCCTGATTATATCTGACAGTCATAATACACTTTAGCACCATTTAGTCAGCCTTGCATTTGCACACAAACAAGCTTTGTGTTTGTCAGTAGAAGCTACCTGAAGGAATAACATATGTCAGTTATAAAAAGGTTACTGTATAGAATGCTGTGTGAGCCAATAAAATAAAATAAAATAAAATAACAATAATAAAATGAAATTCAGTCGCAGAAAGCAAATAAATGCTCCAGTTATTTTGATGCTAACACACATCCTAATAAGCGGAACATGGGCATGAAATGAATATGAAGCTATGCAGAGAAAAGGGAATAAAAATGAGAAATTTGTTTCACACAAGAGAAATCATCACATCCATATTCTGACATATTTGTCAGGTTTTGAAAATTAAATGAACAACTGTTGGGTGGTTGAAGGTAAGACCTTGAAGAGTTAATGTTTAACAATATGCGAGTTTTAGGGTCATGTTATGCATAAAAGCACTTTCAGAGATATCATATCAACTGCACTAACACCCTTGTCTCTGCATGAAAGGTTGATTTCCTCTTTCTCAAACATGGAGGACAAATAAGAAAATCACTGTGTGGGCAGAACCACAATTGTAGCAGGTTCTAGCTAACATACTGGAAGCAGAACAATTTCTGTTGGAATTACAGGGATTACAGGAATGTCAACAAGAAGGAAAATGGAATCAGCTGCTAAAATAACACTCAACAAGCAGAACAAAGGAAGAAATCAAATTCTGATAGATACAAGAATACAGCACCTGGAGACAACCCAAGGTGCATGTTATTCAGAAAGAGAAACAAGGATGTGTATGAAGCTTGGAAAATAACGTACCCTTCTTGTATATATCCATATCAAACTCTAGTTGACTACAGACCGACAAAACCAGCTGCACATGCTTTAACTGCTAACAATACTACCACAGGACTGGCAAGGAGAAGACATTGCATCCCTCAAACAGTTTTTGATCATATAGGAACACCTATAATATAATGCAAACCTCAGAAGTCAAACACCTGCACTTTTCTCTACAAGCTGTGTCTGAACTGGGCAATGAATCCAAGACTACAGTAGCAGATGACAGAGAGAGATCCTTATATGTGATACTGAAAAATTAGGATAAATTGGAAAACAGTGCATAATAGCAAAGCATTCTGCCATGCAACAGTGTTGACCTATTATGCTACAGCAGTAAGGTAATGGTAATTGATGTATGTGTACGAACTGACTTGTGATGCAGGAAAAAGTCAAGCCATAAAATTCTTGTCTGAATATCCATGACACAGATGATAGGCATCAGAATGCAAAGGAGAAAGAAAACAAGTTAAAGATGAGAACTGGAACCACTGAAAATAGCACAGACTGTTGAAATGCAGATTTGTAGTCTGTTTACCTTTCAGAGATGTCATAAGCCATGCACACAACTGGTATGCAGTGACTGGCATCAAAAAAGGTAGGTCTCTGCTGTTATACCACTGTACATCTGACAAGTCAAGTAGTTCCAAGATGCAAATAAAGAATCCATTATGATCAACCTCGGCTGTACCATGCCTTTTTCATAAAAGAAAAGGATAAGAAAAGTATGCCATAACGATGGCAATGTCAATGGATGGCAAAAGCTTCAATAATCTGCTGTAAGTTGGAGCTCAGAAGCTCAGTTGGAGTACTGGACAATGAACAAGATTCAGTGAAAGACATACATCAAGTTCCTCAAATATTTGCAGGACATTTGAGAAGGTACTACCTTTTCATTCTAAACACAAAAAGCTGCAATTCCTAGTGACAAACTATAAAAAGTTGTATATGACTAAAATGAGATAGACAACAGAATTGTTTTTGCTTATTTGTGTAATGAACAGATCATTCTCACTTGCCTACCAAGAGAATGTAAAATTAAATATTGCCTTAATTAGTTGGGAAACTTGTCAAGGTGCAATGAGAAAAGGGATGGAGGGGAATCAGAAGTTTGACTGTATTTATCAATTTACATATAGCAATAGAAATAGATGATCCATTCAATGGCCATAAAAGTATTTATCGATGTCATATCAAACACTTCAGGACTATCATGGAAATAAAGATACATGGCTGTTATAGACTTCTAGAGATTAAAGACTTCCTTGTCCTTTAGTATTTTATTAAGTGGAGTTCTTCAAACCTACTTGGATCAAATTCCTCAGAACAAATAGAAGGACATTTCACTGTGACCAGTTTTTGAACTGTGATAAGGTTAATATTAGTTTGACTGAATCTATCTCAAAATATTTTGATTGCACCAGATAAATAATGTACTATATTTGCAGTCAGGTTTTAAGCAACTATACTGAGAAGCTTTTTGACTGGCTGCTATCTGGTGGGTTATGAGTTAAGAATTCAATAAACTTTCTACAGCCTAACATATCTTTGTTGTTGGAGGCCAGTAATACTTTCCAAGCTATCACCAAGTTCATGGTAATATCTCCTTTACTGTTGATTACATTAAATTTTAGTGGTGTTAGTGATCCGTGTCTCCATCTCTTTTTGACAAATTTGTGTTGTACTTGCACTTATATGTCACAATGTTTTAATTCCTTTTCCTATTTTCTTTTGGTAATCGGAAATGGGAATGTTCTTATGCTGCTTCTCTCGTGTCTGTTTGTAGGCTTTGACCAAAAGACCTGTGGGTCCTAGAAGTTGTGGAAAGAAAGTTCATGGCTAGTTTAAATTTCTTCTGAGAAAGACTTTATCAGGGTGTTGATTTAAAACTGTGTTTGTCATCACTGTGATCCAAGTGTTGCTATCAGTACGCGTGTCTGGGATGGTGAAAAGGGAGGATCATGAACCTTGATCTATCCTGTAAAATGATTTTCAACCAGACACAGTAAGACAATACTGTGATTTGACAAGCGATATCTGCATGTTTTGAAAACACAGTCAAGATAGATGTCATGTATATACACACATACATATATATGTATATATATATGTATGTATATGACAATGCTTTACCTATTTCATTACACAGAGTAACAGTTGGGAATAGTGTATTTTCATCATCACACATTCCTTCAATTCTGGATTCCTATTCAAGGTTAAATTTCCTTGAGTATAACAATGTCAGTTATTTCCATAAGCAGTGAGTATTGACAATGGCTATTCTGAAAGGTCTTTTTGGCTGTTTTCATCTGCCTGGTGATACATGGTCAGAATTCATAGCACTTTATCATATGAGGTAAAACACAGCCATGTACATATAAGATGCCTTGCAGGTATGAATTGTAGTTGTCATGGTCATTTAAAACAGTGCTATAGGTTGCTGATAATGTCTTCTGAATGCATGTCATCACATGTATTATTTCCTAAATTACAGAATTCTACTTATATCCAAGCAGACAAACTGCTCAGAGTTGACTTCAACGCAGTGTTCCCATAAGATATGAAGGTGATCACTATGTGAGCACTGGCAAATTTGTGGCAATGGCCAAGCATAGCATATACAGTATCTTCTTCTCTTTTTAGAATCATTGTATGTCCAAATGGGGCTGTGCATTTATCTGCAATATATCAGTTGTAAACCTGTACTTTTTGAGATCTATTTTATATAATCTAATTTTAAACACTGACAAAGAGTATTAGAAATCATCATTTTGGAAAGTGATGGAAAAAGGGATACTATGGAAAAACCGATTTTCTCTTCTTTAAGGTTGCAAAAATGATAGTAAGGGAACCAAATCTTTTATACCTTATAAACATGGATTACCTGCTGACATTAAGTACTCTTGGCTTCAATAAGGCAGATGAATTTATGCACAGCCATGTAAGCTATGAATGCGTATGAAAACTGGGTGGTAAATGCCAACACATCAGGATGGAAATATGAATCAGAAACATTATTTTAGGACTCAACACACAACCCTGCTTGTGGTGAAATGGACATTCACTGATTGGCAGAGTTACACTGTTCTGTTGCCAGCATGTAAGTAACACAATACTTCACTAAATACTCTTCAAACTCCATTGTTATATTGTTAAGGACTAATCAGGTACTTTAGGAAGTTATTTTATGCCAGCACTCTGTTACAAATCCCAGTTCACAGAAAGCCAGTTCCTGAAATGATGGATTGGTAAATGGATTATCCAAGACACATGCATGGCATGTTCAGAATGAATGGGATTATTGCACAGGATGGAGACAATATTCAGTATATACTTTACTGCAAGAGTAAAAGAGAAAAAAAAAAAAATCACGAAAGGCTATGAATAAAGATATGCTGCTCCAAGAAGATTAAGGTTGTAGTTATAAAAAGGACATGATTCAATTTCATACAGTAGAAATTACTATTAACTAAAGAGAAAACCTTGGTTTATGTGGTGGCTATAATAATAATAATAATAATAATAATCTGTGGACAATGGTATTCTACAGAAGCAGAAGAAACTAAGCTGTGTGACTGGAAAGTTTCATGCCATCATAAGTGGCTGGCATGTGCAATGATTATTGTTTATGAAGTTTTACTGTGACAGCAAGTCTTGTAAATGACTATGCTGAACACACATCCAAGTATAGAAATCTGTCTTTAGCATTCTAGTTTACATCAGCCTTTCTTCATTTATGTCTTCTCTGCATCTAAAATTTATTTCCTCTATACTGTTACTAGACCAGAGCAATATTTAAGGCCATCCCCACAAAGTAAACATACCTTATGGACACCACTCAGAGAATATCCTCTTTCAAAGACAAAATGGGCAGCTGCCATTCCAAATGTTAATTAACTGACCATGATTTGTAGATGATATGCTAAAGCTTATGTACACTGGGAAAAAAGATCTGTTTATAATGCATGTGTTTAATACTGCCTACATCCTTCTTTGAAATACATTTTGACTTTAGCAACAGATGCTTGCTGTGCTCACACACTGATGACCCCTCAAAATAATCTTCTGGATATTATTGACCATTCCTACTTACATAAATGTATCGAATAATTCCACATCATACAGAATCTGTGCTGCCTAACATTAGAGGCTACCTTAGATCAAGCCTCAAATGGAGCCAGTTTGCAACAAGTGATGGCATGCTTTTGATGTTTACCAGACATTTTCAGCACTGATGACAATGTCTTTCTCCATCAGCCTCTGACATCTCAGATGGCAAGTCATAAGAATGGCTTAGACAGATTTGACTCACACATTACATATATTTCTTGAGACTAGTGGCAGACAATTCATTGAATTACATGCATATATCAGAGATTAATTTTATGAGCACATGGTTCATTTACACCCAATTTTGTAACTGACATATGTTTAAATGGTCTTATCTCATGAGAACCACTCTGTCTGCAGTCTGTGTAGTAGGAGCTAAGGAAGTATGCCTAGCATTCCTGTGCTGGGGTATCACAACGATACCATTGTATTGAATAACAGGTTATCTGTTCCCCAGCTTCCAGACAATATTATTTGATTTACATCATAGCTGGACACCTCAGTGGCCAGTGACATCTGTCTCCTCTGCTGATAGTAATTTCCTTTATATCTCATAGACCTGCAGTCATCTATTTCTACTTCTGGAAACAGAGGTGTCCAGAGACAGTCTTGACAACAACAAAAGGCAAACTGGGAGCTATTGCTCTGTAATGGCTGCTTCACATCTCCCACTGCCATGGTGCATGGCTTCCTTCATCTCTGCAGTAGGTGATAAAACCTTTGCCATGTTGTAAGGAGATATGGGAGCCAGGACAGAGTAAGCCCCTGCAGTCACATCCTTGCTCCTCTGCCCAGTCATCTCATGCTGTTTCCAAAGTAGGCTGCTAATGGTATGGTAGCTTGCACTTCTACTTCCTTAAAAATCCAGTGCTTGGAACGTTCACTGTTCAGTTTACTATGTGTGTGTTTTGAGATTTGTCCTAACAATGGTTCAAATGCTACAAAAAAAAAAATAAAGAAAAAAATGTAATGCTTCCATTGTTAATAGGCAGACCAACTTCCTAGACTATGCACTTTTTTCTAACCAACAAGCTAGAATTAGATTATAATTTGGTACCAAAAGCTACATTTAACTGACATTTAGATTGTTAAGTAAGACCCCCAAAAAAGTTGAAAATTCAAAAATTAAGCCTTACACTCTGTTCTTAACCCACAGTGCTATTGGCACAGGAGTCTTGATCAAGCAACTGGGGATGTGAAGTATTCTTCAAAGAAAAAGTGTAAGTCTGCCCCTTATGTTTGGATCTATTACCTTATGTTATTTTAATTCACAAAATTAGCCTTAAAAAATCTTTTTCTTTAATTATCCCCTCCCTCTTCCCACTTTGAAAGAAGAAAAAGAACAAAAGTTCATAAGAATATATAAAATATGTATTACATTTATTCAGGAGACTTGAAAGGGCTCCTTTGGAGCCATTTGAGTCTCTCCATCCCAGCCTATTCAGTAAATATACAGTTACATATTTTGAATTTTTTTTTTTGATAAAAATTAATTTTGTCTACAGTCAATAACCTTTCCATAGGTTTAGATACTGAATGGCCAAAGGACACACTGTCATAATCTACTCTGGCCTTCTGCATCATACAGACCATAGTACCCTGAAGCTACACAACCTTGTGTAGTCAGCTTGATAGACTGTAGCTGATTAACACAACACATATTCAGTTTTGTATTGTTCCAAAGTACAGATCATGACAATAGCAATATGGAAATGTTTATTAAAAAATTACGGCACATGAGCAGGAACCCAGATTGCAGAACTGAAAATATTTTTAGTTTGCTTTTTCTTAATTCTGATAGTTATAGGCCCTTGTAGAGAAACAACTATTCAAAAAAATAAAGTTGTCTTAGAACTTGTACTAATTTGAGTTCAAAATTTGATCAGGCAACATCACTAATTCACTCTGAAATTCTATAATTTGAAACTAGCCAGTATGTATTTGGAAATTACAGTGAACACGAATGCTCCTACATCTTTTACTTAAAGCAAACCTTTATGACTGCATTACAACCTACTGAAAATGTGAGTATGTAACAGAAAACTTGACACAATCTCGGTTTGCATGACATAAACATGCCAATATAATTTTTTTTTTCTCCCTCTCTCTGTATATAGCATATATGCACTTTTAAGTAAAAGAAAATAGATTCAACAATCAACTTATCATGTATTCATGTATCTATGATGTACCATATACCAAGCACTAGAATTATCACACTTACCTTCCTGAATAATTACAGTTAAATTCTCCAAACACAAATATTTTTGTTACCTTATCAAAGAACAACAGTCAACATGCTTAGCACTTCATTACCGTCAGGGAAAAAGTTGCAGAAAAAGTTAAAGCTGCCATGAAAGATATTTCAAAATTGAAATGAAATTTTCAAGTGAATAAAAAAACTGATGAGATGTTGTTCTGACTTAAAAAAATAATAAAAAATTCTCCTATTGTAGAGGAAAAGTAAATACAGAGTAAGTAGTTCTTTCAGTATTTTCCTCCAACTATGCAAGGGGAAAAAAACTGGAACAGCAACATCAACCATTTTGTCCTGTCTATAGCAGAACAAAAGTTATAGCAGTTTGTTGACAATAAAAATTTCTCAATGGATTAAAATGTGCATGTCTGTGTATGTGTGTGTTTGTGTGCTTTTACAGGTATACAAACACACACACCTTAAATACATATGACAAACAGCACAGAATTTCAAATTCACCAAATGAGCTGATCAGCAGTAAAAATCCTGTGTAACTAAACTGTCAATAAGTCTATGTTTTTAGCAACAACTGACTTGGATTTACTAAATAATGCTATGGGCTGATACCGGTGCGCTTCTAACCTACAGTATGCAGTACTTCTACAAAACATCTCCAAAATGCCATCTTCATTGCATATTTGTTGTAAAACTATATCTTTTTCTAATCTTCATTTTTGTTAACCATACATATGTATATCTGTTTATGCTCTAAGAAATAAGTCTGCAATGCTTTATAGCATGCCACATATGTTCATAAGTCCTCAAATCAATATAAAATCATGTAATTGAAAAAAGGCATACTATTTTTCATGCTATGCTCAATATAAATATAAATTCAAGGCAGTCAAGCTATCCATTACCAAAACAATAATAATCATATTATATATGCATATATACCTACACTCTCTAAAAAATGATCCAGTTATGTGGATTAAGAAACCAGTAAGAAATTGGTTGAACATAGTATAAAAGTCTCATTTTATGTAAAAGCCCATACTGGCCATTTCAAGTATTTTAATACTTTCCTATAACCTTTTAATTAATAACTAGATATTTGTAGAAATAATAATTTTATACTGAAAATTGTATTCAAGTTAAATAAAAATTAACTTCTGCTGTAATTCATTTTTAGAGTGTGCATGTATACATAGCAAAATACCTTTCTACAGACCTATATCATAAATATTTTAGTCTATGTCATTTCTCTCCAACTAAAACACTTCAATTTCTTTTTCTCAGATTTTGGATCATGTCTATCAGGCCTTTCAAGAAATAAAACTCATCTTAGTTCATTTGCAACACCAGATTCCCTTCAGTTTGTGCCAGTTTGCAAGTTAAAGGTCAAAGACATAGGACAGTACACTTTAAGGAAATTCAGACAGTGAAGCTGTTCACAGAAGACAATGTTTAACTTGGTAATGACAGTCAACAGGTCAATAATCAAGTTCAAGGCAAGCTGTTCATTGTTGCAAAAGCTACTCCCCTCAAAACCTGGCTTTCATAAAAAACCAGGTGTCTGACTTTTGGGGTGCATCATTCTGACCATCTTTAATAAGTTCACAGCCCAGTGACTGTAAAGCCTATCACTGCAAGAAGCAGCTCCTAAAATCAATAAAGAGGTCTGTCAGTTGCTGACTTTTCTCTAGGAAAAAATTATTGATACAAACCTGCTCTGCAGGTCACATGAAAATGACAATAATGCTGTTAGCACAAATTACACAGAATGACAAAATGTTTTGGTGGTCCCTTGGCTCTGTCAGTTGATACCATGTTTTACTGAAGGCCAGAAATTTTAACCCTTTGAGAACTATGATGAACATGCAAAAGGGTAACACATCAGAGGATACTCATGCACTATCAGAGTCATCTTCTTAGCTTTCCTTTGAAACTGTAACTCTACCTCTGCAGAGGCAAATGGAATTGTCATGCAACAAGAGAGAAATCCAAGATGCTTAAGATAAGAGACTAAGCTATAAAATTGTTGCCAGCTCAGAAAAATTCTTGATAAGTGGTAGAAATTATTAAAATACATTTGGTTTAACAAGAAATTAGCTGGTAAATATATATATTTTTTTCTATTCATGTTACAAATGTTTTTCTATCAATAATGCAAATAATTAAAAATGAAGTCACAATAAATCCGTTTTGAAAAACTGATTTTCTTTTGAAACCTGTATTACCCAAACACAATTCTATAATTTAATGATGACCAAGATTAACATCCACCAGACTCTGAAAACTGGATGCAATAGTTCTCAAAGGGTTACACCACCAATAGAATACCAGTGTCAAGTTTCTCAATAGCATGTCTGTTGTTTTAGTTCATTGAAATCCACTTCGGAGACACACTGCTTTTTACCATTCTTTGGAATGAGTGCTCCTGACAGACCTATAAAAGGCCTGGGGTAGTTGGCTTGGTACAGCTTGGGAAAGATAATGTAGGAAAACCAACCAGAAATCAAACAAACCAATAAAAAGGTTCTGCTTGAATAAAGTATTGAGTATGAGTTTAAAACATTGAGGACATAGCCCAGAGCAGCTGTAAAAAACACAAAATGAATGTATTAAGGCTGTTACTATATTGCAGATATTTTGGCCCCTTGTTTGTTGGAAAATGGCTGTCCGAACAGTCTGAAGTCCTGCGTGTCATCCGAGTCTCCCACCTGACAAAACTGGAAGTAGGAGTTTAGGACTTTATCCGTAGCAGACAGAAAGCAATCCTCTTTGGAGACAAAGCTGTTTTGGGTCTTCTCACTTTCCTGAAAGTTCCATTGTTGGTTGTTGTGTTTCTCTAAAAAAATTTACTTTCACCAAAAAAATTTTTCGAAGGGGAACAGGCCTTAAGGGAAAAATGTAGAAACATTGGAGATATTTTTATTCCTCTTCGTTAGTTAATCCTGATAGTTTATAGGGCATTGAGCGTGCAGAGGGAAGGCCTAGAATTGAATGACAAAGAAAGACAAAGGACTGAAGAAACAGCAGATACTGTGTATCATGGAAGCTTCCCAGCCGAGTGAATCACCACTCATGGCAGGACAGGCAACCCCCTGGGTTTTAAAGATCAGCTTTGTTTCAGACTGACAGATGCCCGCTCCTAGCTAGGAAACTGCATAACAGCTCTTGTGTTGAATCTCAAGTTACCACAAACTCCTGGGAGGGAAAGAAAAAAAACCAAAACCCTACATCACACCCACTCTTGCATAGAGCGTTTGCAGTACAGTATGTGGCGGGGTGTTCCTTTCCTTTTGAACTGGAACACAGTGTAAACCAAGACAAGGAGGCACAAGGCCAGGATGCAGGGAATGACGATGGCTATGGCTTTCACAGTGCTGGCTGTGTTGTCCAGTTTGATGACAATGTCAACATCATCTTGAGGGCTGTGTCGGTCTTTATCTCGATCTTTTGGTCCATCACAACCCATAAAATCCTTGAGGATGGATCTGGGGTAGCCAGGTTCCACCTTGAGCATCTGGTTATTGAATTTCCAGTATTCTTTTCCTTTGTAGAAGTATGTGAAGCCTGAGGAAGAAAGTAGCAATTATTCATGGTCATATGAAATCATGTCATCAATATACCATGATGGAAATTACTGGTATCAATTTTTCTGTAATTAAAAAAATCAAAACACATAGAGAATAGACTTCAGTCATAGGTCTTTCAAATATATTTTAACGAATTTTATTTCTTTACTGTCTCTAGAAATATAACATTGAGTTTGGGGGTCTTGTTTTGGTTTTGATTTAATTGCTTGTTTGTTCTTTAGTTCTTTCAGTAAACAGGGATTTTATTTTCCTTAATTAGTACAAAAATGATCAAATAATTCCAGAGAATGTGGTATATAAAAAGTCAAGGTTTGGCCAGTTTGTTCATTCACTGAAAAACCAAAGAGAATTGGAATCCTCAGGGACAGGACTTTAAAGTATCACGACCTCTTCAAGATGGGAAGTCTCCTGAAACAAATTGCAATGCTATGCTATGCTATGCTATCCAGAAATGAGAACTGACCCCCTTTAATCTCACACAACCAATTGCTGTACTTCAGAAGGAGACTGGATGAAATAACATCTTTCACATGAGAAAACAGGTGTAATCAGATTTAAGTTTTCAGTTTGTCATTCAGGCACAATCCAATGCTATTATTAAACATGTTTAAATGGAGAAAAAAAACTCTTTCCAAAAATCTATATTACTTTATTATCCTGGCTGAAAAATGGCATTGATCGGGCAAGACACAAACCTTCAGGATGGGAGAACTTCCTTCTACTGTTTATGAACAGAATGGAAACAGCTGGATTTTTTTTCCTATCTTCACTTTACACATCTCATATATTTCCTGCAGTATTAAAGGCTACTAAGACAGACTGGGTGCTATTTGCAGTTAACAATGCTTCTGAAAAGACTGGTAACTGCCTGTCTGGAGATAACATTATTAACCACCTATTCAATCAATAGTTATTTTCTTTCAATTCTAAAATTAAAAAAGAAATATTTGACAGTCTATTTTGCAGCTCGAACTGTAGGAAAGATCTTCATCACCTACTACCGCTTTTCAGAAAAACTTGAGTATTTCTACATTGGTATTTTTGTAATTTTGTAATTTTAACAGCCTTCCTAGCCAATGAAAAGGCATTATTTTACTTTCCTTAATCTCTCGCATTTTTACTACCTGAAAATATGCCAGTAGATTTATAGAAAGATGTAATACAATTTGAAAAAAAAAAAAAAAAAAAAAAAAAAAAAAAAAAAAAAAAAAAAGAAAGATAAAGAAAGATACAAAAAGTCCTGATCTGTATCAAATGAACAGCTAGACTTGTTCAGAAAGTGCCTTCTATTCTGATTGGAATAAAACCAAAAAGAGGACTGTAATTCTTTATATATGATGAAGTTTTAAAATTCTAGTGCATATGAATTTCTTTAAAGCAATCTGTAGTTTAAATGAAAAGCATTATCAAATGCAAAAATTCAGCATTTTGAACCACACTTATCCTATCTTTGCATTCCATATAACAATATGCCTTTCACAAAGTACTGCGCATCCTGGCCATGGATGAATATTTCAAGTATGGAAATTTGATGTATTATCTCTATCTTTACTATTATACATATATAGAGACCATATACAGACGTGACACCTCTAAATCTATATTCATACATATATGTAGAATACATGTCTGCATATTCAGGGGTAGAGCTAAGTCAAAATACAGACTTTAGTTAGTAGTAATTGATATTATGTAGCAAAAGGTCAAATTAAAACTCTTAAAGCAGTAAAGGAATTGCCAGCTGCTAGAGATCCAATACAATTTTTTCAATTAGAGCACATTTTCCACTGGAAAACTCTGAACGTAGTTTAAACTTTTCTGCCAGTTTTGCTGAGTTAGGAACCAGGATAATAGTCAATTACAGCTGAAAGATGGAAGCTACCAGCAGAGAAGGACAGTTCTGAGAGACTGAGTAGTTTTATTGCACATCCTGACAGAACAAATAACTTCACACAACTGTTGAAAGTGATTTCATCTAATCTGCTGGATGTGTTAAACCTGCTTTGAGAGCTGCTCCTTATGATTTTCTAGGTACTAGTCACTGAGTCACGAGTGCAACACCTGATCCCAACAGCACTGAAGGGCTTAGCAGTCACTACTACCTCAAATGTATTTATGTACTAAGTATCAGGCAAAAAAAGGCCAGTGGACTAATAAAGTAGACTACCTAAAAATTGCCCCACCATCCACTTTAGCAGAATTTCTAGTTGGAAAGTTAAATTTTCTGTGCTGCTCTCAAGGTAGAAAGAAAGATTTCTCCAATTTGGAGAACTTTGTGTGATCTCAGATTCCGTGTAGCAAAAGAAAGGAAATTTCTTCTCCGCCCCTTCTAAGAGTTTCTACCACAGTGCTAGAAAATAAATCACAATATGGGAAGTAGCAGGGTAAATTTCAAAGATGTAACCTGTACCTTACCAAGCTTTTAGGACACTGAGTCGGAACACTGACTACAAGAGAAAATTCGTTTTTCTCATCTTTTCCAAGACTCTTAATGCAAGATTACCAAAAACTTTTGCTATCACTGAAGGAAACCCCTACATGATCAGACTTATTGTAGTATGCTCATTTGCATAGTTTGCACAATAGAAAGACTAAATATGGAAAAAAAAGAATACTCTAAAATAAAATAGATTCTCTGTAAGACATGCTTTCAGATGTTTCCTTATGAAGGGTTATAGTAAAAGTTCTTTACCAACTCTGCTTCTGTCCAAAGAAATAAAAGCAGTTTCAGGGAAAATGCAATCATCTTCTTTCCAACTGAGCTGTGGTATTTCCTTTTTGAATCTGCTTTTGTTTCTTTCTCTCTTCATACAAGCAACAGCAAAGTTGTGAACTGTTTCTTAAGACTTTATTTTCTTTATTTCAGGGAAAATGTCTTAGTGGTCTTCTTGGGAACTTCATGGTGTCAATTCCAGTCCCTTTTTCTACCCTGGGGCTCCTATAGGATTTCTGTAATGCTCAAGAATTCCCTCTTTCCTTTCACCTCCTCCACAATCTCACTCCATGTTTTACTAACCTCCTCATGCAGAGTCCAGAGGACTATCAAAACCACTGGGGATAGAAAGAGAAGTGAATTCTATGTAATCAAAAGTCTTTCATGCCTTAGGAATGTGTGCTCTGCCTCTGCTGTGCTTTCAGACCCACTGGTCTGGGTGTTACAGTGAGATAATTTTCATTTTTAATGGGAGGCACGTGTACCTGAGCTCAGTACAGAATATATATATATTATATATATTTATATACACAAAGATGTGTATATACTTATTTATATACACAGATATAGATAGGCAGATAGATGATACACACACACACATGGATATAGATGTAAATAGATGTATATATATTTCTATAATGTTTGTGACTATTTCCATATATATGTGTATTTAAAAACCGTTAATTATTGAGTGTGATGTATGCAGAATATCATCTAGAATGACCTACTTTCCAGTTAAAAGCAACACAAAAAATCCAATCTAGCAAAAAAGCCAAAATACAGTCAGGGTTTCTTCTTCTGGATAAAACAGACGCATAGCAAGGAAGCAATTAAACATATTTCTGAAAAAACCCCAAACATTTCCATGGTAAATTACTTAATCAAGTTAGAGGTTGAAATAGGAGACTAAAATGTTTTATAAAAGGAAAGAAATCCTTTTACTTTCTTATTAAAAGGAAATTAAAATAATATGGCAATAGATATGTGTCCTGGCTTATGAGGCAAACAGAATAAATTCAGAACCTACTAATAAGTAAATCATATATGCCATGTAAAAATCGTCCAAAAATGATAGGATACAACAAATGCATATTTTTATTGCCATCAAAAGGATCTAAAAACTGTGGAACTGAGGGCTCTGTTGGCAGCTGGCCAGCATCCCCTGGGCAGCACTGAACTCTCCTAAAATGGAGGAGATTTTGGCTGCTCTCATTTGTTTTCTGGTGTGTCCAGCTGAGACTCCAGGCTCTAGGTAATCTTGATAAAGGTAATAATACATCATATTAAAATCCCAGTTATCTGCTTTTCTACATCATGGACTTATGACATCTTTGATTTACATAAATTCATTGGGATATTTCTGCTTAGATAAAGATTTTGCTTCCCTTTGCTGGTTTTTGAGAATGAAAGAAATACCTTCTAAGCTGTTTAAAAAGCCAACACCTTGAAGATTCCATAGAGATATGCTATGTTTATGAAGCTTGTTTTAAGAGGTACTATAATTCAGCAGAGAACAAAATCAAAATTAATTAAGACAGAAGAAAAAAAGAATGGAAATTTGAAGGCTTTTTCAGCCCTAGGTTAAACAGTACATGCAAACAAAGAGCCATTTTCACTAAAGCCATTTCTATAGCAGGAAATACTCTTTGAGATATCAAGAATTCCTTCACTACTTAGCCCAAATAGTCAATCATCCCTCTACTACTCTATCTTACATAAAATGTGTAAATAAATCATTAAAACAAGAATGTGTTTGCATACCATTTTCTTTGTGGACAAAGGCTCCCTGTGGAGATTCTGGGATACCTTTCCAAATTGTGATTGGTTTGGGATAACCAGGGTCCATGGATCTCATTTCTTCACTGTACCTCCAGTACCTGAAATATTTTTTAAAGGAGAAAAAAATCACATTTGTAATATAGCAGATAGGCAATTTTATATTTTCCCCCTCTAACATTTGCTACTTTCATTAGCCACGAGTGGGAATACTGGACTTCTTCTCTTTGAACATACTACCAGATTACAAATAAATCTATTTGCTGTTTCATGGAAGTAGATAGAAGATAAAAGACTTTTGCACTTCAACAACTAAACCAGCATGCATCTCACTTATAATCACCACAATGCTGATGCCTAGGGCTTTTGCACAGTGACACAGAGATGCAACATATGCAAAAAATACCAATGTACATTAATGCTTTTCATAGTATTAGAATAATGCAAGTGACAGTAGATTCAGATTAAAATACTGCCAGCAATCTCTTATAATTTAACTCTTCATATGTATGCATTACAGTAGCTTTTAATTTCATTGCATTATCACTAAATAGATGCAGTGTGTGCACTGTGTGTCTTTTTGCCAGCCAGCCTTTCTCAAACTCAAAAAGCTTCAGCATGAAGCTTCAGCATGAATCCTGAACATCTGAGATTTATTTACACTCACAGATAATACTGATAATTTCTTTTTCCTTTTACTGCTGATCAAATTGCTATGCATATTTTATAAACTGGTTCTAAGAATACTGTATCTCTAATGTCCTCTGTGTGTCCTAATATTTTGGTGGGTCATTTCATATTTTGATTTACTTCATTAATTTAGAACACAATTTTATAACTATCATTGATATCTGGTTACTGCTAAAAACTTGGCCCTGTTTCTCATTTGACTTCAGTTTTTAGAAATCCTTGTTATGATCATCATATATTAAAAGATTCTTAAGTGGATGATATTTTGTCACTGTGAAGGTACTTAAGCACTTTAACTGATTCAAATTTTTATATTTTTTTAAAAGTATAGTGGTATAGACACCTCAGTATTTCTCCCTGTAGGGCATTTCTCTGGCTTTAAACTTTACATAAAATTAAAAGATGGCAGATTTCAAGTGGGTTAAGCGTTGGCATGTTAGATTAAAAAGACATTTGTATTTCTTTTTTCTTTCTTATGCTTAAATTATTTTTATATCCTCAATTCTTAATCTAGTCACATATACATCAGCTACCAGCCAACAATACAATGCTCTTTATTTGGATATATAACATAGAAAGTTTACATGCAGAAACAACATGTAGAAGTAGTAAAAAAAGCTCAAACATTGACACTGGTGAAACCAGTTCTTCCTCATCTTTTAACTCTAAGTTTCTTGGTCTTTAGTTTGCATTTTTTAAACAAATATATTTTCTTTTTCTGTTCCTCTATTCCAGAACTCTATTTCTGTCCTGCATAATTGATCTCATTTTCCTTTTTCTCTTTCAACCTTTTCACGTTTTGAGCTCCTTCTTTTAATAACCTCTGGCTTTCCACTAGTTCTAAATGACTTACAAAGATACACTTTGTCATTTAAAGTCTTTGTGCACTTTTTTGTGCACAGTCAGAAATCACAAAACTTCTGAGTTTTCACCATTGATGAGAAATTTTATTAGGGAAGGAGAGATCACAACACCACCTCAACAATCTGTGCTGGAATAATGAACATGTCTACAGGGTAAGGAAGAGCCTAGGCTTGATTCTACTTGTCGTGACAAATGTTCACAAGCAAACTTCCTAATGATGGTTTGAACTCTACAGCCTACATAAACTTGCTGTGTCTCAAAGACTGATAAATAACAGAGGGGAAAAAAATGAAAGTTCACTTCATAGCTTTAGAAAAAGGGAATTTGGAAAATATTTGCTGAACTATTTCTATATCTAAGCCTATTTACTTAATGATATCCTGAGCCATAGGATGTTTTTTATTCATAAAAAACATTTATTTAAACTCTAAAGTACATAAACCAGCTGGACCAGACAGGGGCATAAAACAAGGACATGTGTCAAGAAGTATTATCTTCTAGTCCCAAATGACTCAGTTGTGGTAGGATAGGAATGACAGAGGGACTAATGTTTTCTGTAGTCAATTTTTTCCCCTTTTAGGGCTTCACAGAATTATTTGTAAGAATTATTGTTAGTGTTGAAATAGCTAATGTCAAATAACAACAATAATATTCCATACATGAGCTGCTTTAGACATATGACTGTTTACTGGTTTAAGTTTTAAATCTTCTTACTAGTTTGGTTAATGGGATTTTCTTGTCTGCTTATTTTTCTGTTTGGTCATTTTTATTATTATTTTTATTTTATAGCCAACATTTGATGTCATAAGCAATGCATGTTGAGAAACTTTTTTGAGAAACCGTTATAAGGGTTTATTCCCACTGATGGTCAATATCCTGTAATGGCTCAATTATCTCTGCAAGGCTCATGTTCAATCTTCTAACATACTGTATTGCATTTTTATCCTGCTGAGTTTCATTGTGCTTGTCAGCTCTAAGTAGCAACTTTTCTGCCAGCACATGTTTTCTCTGCTAGTTCTTTTTGTCTTCTGTTATTACCAATCGTGTTGTAGGAAAGTCCTGAATAGAGTTAACTGCCTATGCAAGGAAATATAAAAGGACATTGCTGAATAAAGCCTAAATGAAGTAAATCACAAAGGATTCCTACTGTACATCTTTTAACAATATGTATGTGGAGGTGGAAAATTATTAGGTGAAAATTAATTTGAATTTTTTAAAAAAATCTACTCAGCCATAGGAAGCAAATTATTTAGGAATCTTCTACTCACTATGAAAACTGCTTGAAATGATACCTAGTTTTAAAAGATTACAAAAATTTGACTTTGTTATCAACTTCCCTCACCATGAGTGTTGGAGAGCTATATTTTTTTAAATAATAAAAAATAGCTTTAACCATAAAATTTGCTGCAGCATTCTGTAGTGCAATTTTTACAGTACTGTTAAAAATTACCAACTGTACTGTCCTAAACATATTCTATGATGTGCATTAAATTAATTTCTTAAGTGATCCATGAATACTATTAGTGTCTGAGAACACTAAGTACCACACAGTAACAAAAACAATCATATTTTAAAAAGACTAATAGAAATATTACAGTTATTAATAAGGAATAATTTGGCTCTGAGCACACAAAATTTGCACAGCAATACATCAATCAACAAACACAGTACCATACTGAAAACCTGTAAAATCCATCATTCAGGCAACTTGCAGTGTTTCAAAAATTAATTAATTCTCTTGACACCTCTACAAAGCAGACAAATATTCCTTTCCTTTTTTTTATTGACAGGTAAATAAAGATACAGATACTAAGTGGCTAGTACAAGTATTTTAGGAATGGAAAAGCCCTTGGATTTGACATTTTTTTCTGTGCTTTTCTTTTTGTTGGGGGGTTGTGGTGGTTTTTTTCTGTTTGTATCTTTTAAAAATTATTATTAATCATAAATATGTGTCCCTACAAGATTTATTTAGAAGTAATTCCATGAAAATTCTCAAATTCTTCTCTAGCTCCCAGGTTTAGGTCTGAGTTTCCTTTTTTACTTCGTTATTAAACAGTAGAAAATAAGTCATTTTCACTGACCTCTAAAGCTTTGGATCGTGCCTGGCCTGCTTATGTGCTGAGGTTTAGAAATGTGGATAAAAAGAAACAGGTAAGAGTGTACATAAACACATCACTTTGAATATTTAAGTTTAAATTTGTCACAACTGTGACTCTCCTGTTGACTTCTAAAACATAACTTTTCTACTGGATATACTCATACCCATTCCAAGATATTCCCACAAATATAATTTAGGTTATGAGACATGTGAAAACAGTACAGCCATCTATGCAGGAGGAGCTCATTTCATCCTTTTGAGAAACAGAGGAAAAGGTTAACATGTTGAGCTGATATCCACTGAATTTTGCCCTTGCAGACATCCTATACCAACCTATCTCCTTTGAAGAAGTAGGTTTTTCCAACATCTTCCCACCAAATTGCTGAATCAATGCCGTGGGAAGGAATTCCACTTCCAAGTGTTATCAAATCATGAGGATAACCTGGCTGGAGAGTGGTGTCCTTGAAAACCCAGAACTTGTTACCTGTACAAAAGCATATATATGCACACATATATGTGTGTTAGTCATCAGTACTGTCAGTAGAAATATTAATACACTCTTAAGAAATAAGAAAGACTCCCAAAGTTTCTATAGCAGATAGTTCTTCCAAATACAATGAAATGAAAAATGTTCCATCGCTGCAGATAATGCAAAATTAAATATGCCTTATGAATATCTTGCATTTATAAAGCACCTCTCTTCAAGTAGGTCCACAGAATATTTTGTTACCAACTCTGTAGTAATCAAAACTAGAACAGCAATGAAATAACCTCAAGAGGCTGTGTGGTTGATAATACAATACATTTACAGAAAAACTATTCAGCAGTTTAATGTTTCATGAGGAAAGAGTGAATTTTATAAGAAAATAAGGTAAGAAAACACACACACACACAAAAATTACAATCCTCATAGAGATCAATTATTTTTATTACTCTGTATTTCTCCCCGAGAAGTTAAATTACTTACGAAGGATGTATGATTATTTCAGAAATAACAATAGAAATTAATTTTTTAACATATTTTCTTTAGGGTGGCCTAAAGACAGCAAGCTGAGAATCTGAACTCACAGAGGTGAAAACCTTTTGCTGCTGAAAGTAATGGGGGTTTGCCAGTGGCAGTAAGACTTAAGCTTTGTCTGTAGATGACAAATCATTCAAAACCACCCAACTGACTTATTAAGTGCTGAAAATACGAGGTAGTTTTATGACTAGTTGATGTCAGGACAGTGTCTACACAAACCTCAGATTATCCAGGGTGATCAGGTTACTGTCTTACATATAAACGGTAGCCAAGGATTTCTTGGACTGCAATGCTGAGTGGCTGAAACCCCTACTGCTAGAGGGGTAACTGCAGTTACCAGATAAATATTTTGTGTACATGGGGATCCATGCCTACAGAAGTAGCAGCTGCACCAGTGCTTCATTGTCTAGATGCCCCCTGTCTGTGGGATGCTCCCTGTGGTCTCTCTTCCAACTGGATAGATGACCTCACCAGCCCGTGACTCCAGTTTCCAAACTTCTGTTTTTCCTCTAGCTTCCTGGCCAAGCTCTTCTTCACTGAGCACTTTCATAATTATCTCACCTACTTCACCATCTCATGTTGAGCCTATAGTCCAATATTTCCCCCATGATTTTGTTGCCCTCCTAGGGACTTCTCAACATACTGTACCAACTATCTTCTCCTTTTTACATTTCTGCTTCTTTCTAATTCTTCCTCCAAACTCACTTCTCACCTGTGTCTTTTCAGCAGAGACTTCTCTTTCCAATACAGACAGCTATGGCTGAAAAAAGGGAATAAAGATCTCCATATGCTCCCTAGAAATAGGAAAGGGGGAGCATAATTTGCATGTACTTATAATTTGTTTATGTACTTATCTGACAAGTTTGCTTTGATGCCTGTCTTCTCTTTGTTTTATGTCCTCTACACCACAAAAACACTCCTTTCAGGCTAGACTGTAGGCTCCATTGTAAAAGAACCATGCATTTATTTTCTGTTCAAGGCCCTGCCATCACCATTTTTTTCCAAAAAGCATTGCTAGTTTTAGTAATAATTACACTGAAGGAGAAAATACTCTGATGTTGGAAACCAAAATATAGAAACTTCTACAGATGCTGAAGGGTTCAATCTGCAGCCTTAGAAAAAGCCTGGATTGATGTAGTGATGAAGGTACACAGACACTGGGTAGAGAAATTTTAAACTTATATCTCTATAGTTATAAGTCAGAATATGCCTAGGTAGGTAAGAAATTCTATTAGGTAAAATAGTTTGAGGTTTAAGTTGTAATAGTGTGACTTATAGAGTAGGTTAGAAATCTAGAAACTGCAACAGAGGTGTGTATGAGTACGTGACCTGTCAGGTATTGGCTAAGAAAGAGATGCAGTGCAGCAAAATTAAGTAAAGGTGATAGATTAATAAGTGAAAACAAGTTTTGTGTCAACTGCCTATTGGGTTAAAATGTTATATTGCAAAGAAGAAACTGGTGACTTCCTTGTGCTATGGCTGACTTGTTGCTCCTCTAAACCTCATGCCTTGAGACTGATATCCTATCTGGCCACTTGAGCAATAAATCATCTCAAAGCAAAGTGGTCCCATCCCTTGTTCTTCATCTTGACACTCTGACATCACATGGACACTTTGAGCTAAATCACAAAAAAATCTAGACAAGATCTACAAACATATATACTAAATTGGCCTTATTAGATTCTTCACTTTGGTCTATCCATTGTTATGCATGACAATGATATTTAAAATATGAGGGGAAAAGTTTGAAAACAAATTTTGCTCAAACACATTTGGAAAGAGGACGTAGGAGATAAAATCACGGCTGTTAACATTAGTTGTTTTACTTACCTTTAAAGCTAGACAGGTGTTATAAAGATTTAGGAGGTTAAGATACTGTGCTGTATAAATATTTTATAAGGAAATGTAATATTACCCCAAAGACCTAGGATCAGGTATATGCCAGAATCATCAAGAGGAAAAATCCAGAGAGCTGTTTTGCAGCTGGTTTTATATTTTAGCTATCCCTCTGTGTTATTAAATGTTTGTTTAAAGGAAGGGTTTCTTTAATCTCCTTGTATGTACTGTCATAATTTAAAGCATGTTTTCATTTTACCAGAGTTTTAATTAGGAGAGGGGGTATAGTTTCCACCCCTCCCATGCTGGGTTAATTTTTTATCAGCTTCTTTACAGGTGCTTGTCACCCGCTTTCAAGCACAGACACTACAGTTTGCTCAACATATCCATTTTCTCTCCCATGCCAGTTGAAGGAGAAAAAGACTCAAATAATGAGTACGTACAGGGCCATTTGAAGTATGGAAAATAAAAGAAACACAGAGATCTGTGAAGAGCAGTCATGGAAAGGTGAGTTCTCTGTTGACCTGGGATTAAGGTCATTGCTAACCTGAGATTTACCTCTACTGAGATGCCTTATAAAAATTCACTTGTAGAGTTTGATAACGACAGAGGTGAGCATCTTCAATCATTCTGTCCCTCCTCCCACGTGCTATATCTTTTGCCAATTCGTATGACTGGACACAGAAGGCTTCAGATGTTAATGGCAGTTTCAAATGCAATGATAAGAGAAGTCATGCATTTTGGACCTTACTAGTTGGTACTTATGGTGTGAACAACAGATGGCATCCAGTGAATGATCCTGGGCCAGCTCATTTCTGTTTCAGAAGATCATTCAAAATGACAGCTGTTGCACAGCATTGAGAGGCATATGCTGTGATGTACGTAATGCCAATACTTTTCTCTGTGCCTCACAAGGAATAAAAGTCAAAGCAATTGTTATGAAGAGATCATTATCAGCCATACCCAAGGAGGCAAAGTCAACTATTAACAAGATCAGGTCACACCAAAATAAACAATGGTTATGCACAAACCATTGTAAGTGACAGCACCACTGAGCCATTGCTTTTTGCATATTCGGATACGCTGAAGTAAAAGGAAAGATGGGAACAGACATAAGAAACTGAATTCTTCACATAATTTCTTACTAAAAAGCAAATTCTTTCTTAGAAAACAGAGAAAAGGTAAATTTAACTGTGTTCTGAGGAGACAGGGGAGCATTAAGCACTCTAACATATGTAAGCAAGTCCTATTGATGCTAACTAGAGGGAATTTTATTTAACATTTGCTTTAGAAGACATATTTAGTCTGCTATAACTGTGTTGATTGCTAATGAGTACTGTATATAAGAAATCCAAATGTTCCATCTGGCTGACAGTTTTCACTTCAGTTTTTTGTTTGTTTTTTTAGGAGATTTGTTGTTGGTCTTGTTTTGGATTTTTTTTTTCTGTCTCTCACCTGGAGGAAAGTGGGTGACTTGATCAATAATTGATCTGATCTACAGAATATTGATCAGAACCCAATATTAGGAGAAGTTAAAGCTGAAAATCAGTGCAAAAGATGCCCAACTGTGACGAGAATGAGCTAATTTTATTTATAACATATTTATGTATCTTTAAATGTAGTACAAACTAATGCTAAAGTCATTTCATGTAGCTCAGATTCCACTTTTCCTAATAAATAGTTAATAAGACTTCATTAATTGTGATCATAATGGAAAGAACTATGACAAAAGTAGTCATATTTTTGCTCTTCTTTTAGATAACTAATGCTTGTGTGGAGTCAGAATCTATGCACTTGGCAGAAATCACTACTGTGTTTATTTTGCAAAGCTGGTTTTTTAAGGTCTCATTGGTAAGTTTGTTATTCTCACAGAGAATAAAGCACCACATGTTTCATGAAGTCTGAAATTTCAGAATGTTTAATCTCTCTGCTTTTATTCCCTAATGTAAGGTCTAATATAATAAGAAGCAGATTGGCAAGGTCAGAAGCTGAAAGTGAAGCAAGTGATAAAAAAGCTAAAATGTCTTACTTCTTGTAAAAATGCTTTGTTAAATATCATCACTGTAGGGAAACAGCTGAGAAAGATGAACCATGGAATCATTTGAAGTCTCTCAACATCCATCTTTGACATTCTAAAAAAAGTACTGGAAATAAAGGACATCTGTATTGCTATGCTTCACTTAAAATTGTAATATTCTAGATATCCTTCAGACTGTTTACCTTCCTATTGACTACTGCCAACAAATGTGTGGTTTTTAGTAACTAGTTCTTCCTTTATAGAATCTGAATTCTTAATAATTGTGCTTCTGGGTTTTTTGTCCACATTATTTGCAATTATGGTATATGTGCAGTGCAAGAGGTGTGTAGCATATAATCACTGTGTTAGAGTGGTGAGATGAATTCCCATATTTTTAAACATATAATTTAAATTAGTTAAAAATTTAATATCTAACCCTGAATGTTATTTCTTTTCCAGTCAACATTCCTCTTAGTTTTGGTCTTTCAAGACTGTATCTAATCTTTTTACTAGTATCCTAAAATCACTATCCATGGTTCCTTTTTCCCCATTTCCTATTTCCCACATCAAGTTTCTGTCATTTCTCTGTTCCATGACCTGATACTATAGTAAATCTATTTTTCAATATAAAAATGTCAGGCCATGGGGTAAATGCAGTGATGTTATGATGGAGGCAATGGTAGTATGAGTTTTACAGCAGTCTTTCTATTGCTACATTTGGTTTACCATAACATTCAACTGCACAGATGGCTTGACAATTTCATTTTCAGCACTATGTAAATTCCCAAAGGTACAAAAGTACACAAAATAAAATAAAATAAAATAAAATGGTATCTTTCTGATGCCATCTTATTATCATTCAGCATGGACACTGGCAATGAATAATAACAAGAATTCAAACATCTGTTTTTTATAAGCAGCTATCCACCAGATTGCTCTGTACTTTATGAGTATGGTCTGGTCTGCTGGGGGCTGATGAGTCCATCTGGCAGGGAACAGGAAGAGCATCTCGGTCATAGCCTTGCCAAGCTGGTAAAGACGACTTTTAACTAAAGTTGCTGGTGGAGGGAGAACCTCAACCCATCCCACTCCTACCAGCTTGATGTCAGTGCCAGCAAGAGATGTCCAGAGCCTGGAGAGAGATCACAGGTCAGCAGGAGAGCACCTGAACCATCACAAAGGAATTCCAGCCACTCCAGCCAGTAAGTTGGTTTCACTGGGGGCACCAAATTAAATGCCTCTACGGAAACACACGCATTACGCGGAATGAGCAACAGGAGTTGGGGACGTACTTGGAAATTTGCATGCACCTGCAGGGCTGTGATCTTACCAGCATCACAGAGACATGGTGGGAAGGCTTCTATGAATGGAATGTTGGAATGGAAGGCTGCTGGCTCTTTAGGAAGGATGGGCAGGGAAGAGGGCATGGGGGTGTTGCTGTCTGTGTAAATGACTGTCTGGAGCACATGGAGCTCTGCTGGGATGGATGAGGAACTTTTCACGGAATCACAGACTCGGGTGGGAAACGACTTCGGAGAACATCAAGTTCAATCTATGACCTAACACAACCTTATCAACTAAAGAAGCATGGCCACATACAATCTTTTACTGGGGACAGTGACTACACCACCTGCCTGGCTGCCTGTTCCAGCACCCACCCACTCTTTCTGTGAGGATTATTTTTCTTTTTTTTTTCCTAACATCAAGCCTGTATATTTGTAGTACACTATGGGTCAGCACTAAAGGGAGGGTATGAACAGATGACACTTTAGTGTGGGTCAGAGGAGTGCATAGTGACATTAATCCAGTACAAGTTCTCTGCTGGCATTTAATCTATCTTTTCTGTTTTATTCTCTGAATAACAGATGCAGACATTGGCTTAGGATGTGCTTTGTTAACACATCTGCATGCTAGACTTCAGATTTAAAGTTCCTTCTAGAAGTTACTTGTTTGGACCAATTTTAGACTGGTAAAGCACACTACCTGGATAAGACATTCTACTTGCTCATCATCTTAGCAACAATCAACTTGTCTATTTCTAGCACCTCCTCTAGGGAGGAGGAAATGTACTCTTCCCAGGAAACTGTGATGGAATACAAGAAATGAGACAATGATCATTTACCTACAGTCTATTTATATAGATTTCTGTAAGGCAGTTGAGTTGCTTGGAACAGGAATTTTTCAAGGACACCCACACAGAAGACTCAGCTGAAATTTTTGATTCTGTAGCAGTGGAAAAACATGAATTACACTGATAGAAAACACCAACAGTTAGATATTAAGAGTCATGAAGATATGGCAGAGATGCAAAAATTGAAAAAAAAAAATTGCACAAAGAAATACAAAGACTTTTGACCTTGGCAAATAATGGGGTAATACAAATGTCATTAGAAAAATAATGGAAGGAATTTTGAAAAGAAGACATATGGAAAAAGTACCTACAGCAGAATATCCAAATATCATATGATATCAGCTAGATGGCTGGTCTAACTAACTGGTCTGAAATCAGATAGCATACAGTGGGGATGATGAGAAAGGAAAATCCCAATTCAGACTTCTAAGGGCACAATCCTGCTGTTCCTGCTTTCTTTAATTAATCTTGATTTAATTTCCCAGAGAGAAAATAGAGAAGTTCCCTCTTCCGTCTGTTATCTATAATCCACAGACTACAGGATCAACCTATTCCTCTAAGACCTAACAGGAGCCAGTCAGCAGTGGGTGAAAAGTTAAATAATGATTAAACTTATTTCAAGGTCACAGGGAAGGAAAAGAAAGCAGCTGTAAGAGTAAGCTTGATCATTTCTGTCTGGAGCTCAGGTAATGGATCTCAACATTATCACGACAGAAGTCTGGAATGCCCAGGGTAGCCACTTTGCTCCTTGTAGAACTCGTGCAAAGGAACAGACACAGAATAATATTTTTATCCTTCCATGTCCTATGGAACTAAAAATCAAGAAGTGAGATGGAGATTTGGAGGTACCATGATCATGACTCCCAACCATATAAACTTGACGGAGTTAATTACTTGAAGTTTATTTTATGGCAACAGAAGTAAAAGAATTTGCTGCATTGAAGTCATAGAAATAGAAAATGTACTACATGGAATGTAATTTTCCTTATGATTCATACAAAAAATACAATTTCACTTTGGTAAAACATAAAATTCATTGTACTGTTATGAAATGTTTCTGCATGTTATTAAATATTTTTCATTTAGCATTCCCAAAATCCTGTTTTGATCCCTAGTGAATGAAATATTACTTCTAGCTCCCTGTTAATAAGTAACTCTTGTAAAAATGAATTAATTTTTTTTATATAACAACTTAAAAAAATCTACCTTTTTTGTAATGAGTTAAAAAATGAATTATTCACAACACTAAACAGCTGAATAATTTTTCACATATTTGTTATCTATTCAGTTTCTTCTTCTCTCAAATTATTATTTTATAAAACATACTTTGCATGATTTGCAGACCTTTGTCACTAAGTATGCATTCATTAAGCATATAAGATAACATAATCATTAAATCTAAATTAGGTACATGTCCAAGAACTTTAATTTTGAAGAATAGCTGAAGTTTGGAGTGAAATTTCAAAATAATTGTTAGCACAAATTCTATCTCTACCACCTATTTTCTGGAGTTTATGCTTTTTTAAAAACACTAAATACACATCTATGGAAAAGAATATTTTTCCCCACATGAAACTCCTAACATCACAGGTCTTAGATGAAACAAATACAATGCAGTACACTGAGGTATATGTAGCAGAGGTGCCATTTAAATATATAAGGAATTCATTTGTACAAAGGAAGAAAAGCAAAAAGAATGACACAAAAATAATAATGGAAATGTCTTCATTGTGTCTTCCTAAAACATATTAAAAAAAAATATTTCATAATAGACCGCTTCATTTCTATGTCTCATATTTATACTTTCAAATTTTTATTTAATATGTAAGAGCAAATGACTTGATACTGTGAAGGGTAATCATAAATTAAAAATGTAACTGCCAAACAAGAAAATATTGACTTATATACTCTTCATTTAGCTATCAATTTGCAACAAGATTTACAAATCATTAGTAAATTACACAAGATGTGTTTCAAGAAATCACAAGACCTTAATTTTGTTCTTTCTTACCTTTGAAGAAGACGAAATTCCCCTCACTGTTTTCATAAACTGCATCAATGCTGGGAGGCAGTCCCCTCCAGAAGTAGGTAATCTGCATGGGGTATCCATCCATCACCCTGTTGTTTCTGACTCGCCAAAACCACTGATCCTGGAAACCAAACATTTACATGTGTTCAGCTGCTGTCTTGGAAATACTGAACAGCCTATCCTGGCATTTTTAGAGCAGACCTTTTGCTGAGTGGATTAGCACATTGTGTTTGCATTTGTGTCACATTACCAATGTTTTGGAACTGGTTTTTGCTGAGGTGGGACAAGCTACACACATGAACCAGGTGTTTGGAGCAGACAGTCCTCTCAATTCTTATAAGGGGCCCAATTTAAAATTTGTGGTCTGACTGCAAGTGCTTTTAGATTGAACCCTATGCTTATGTGACTGCCCAATATAATGGGACTACATACAGGCTTTGAAGACAAATTAATTTTTCTGCAGTGGCAGCTAACAGTGAAATGCTGATAGAAATATGTGTAACATTCCCACATCAGTCCAGTAAGAACTATGCTCTGATGACAATTCTGCTGTAGTGAAGTTTAGCAGTCTTTCCAAGTGACATTAAATAGAATGGTTAAAATTACAGCCCCATATATATATAAAATAGGTGTTAAATCCAGCTAAATCAAGTACATTGCACATTAAATGGGTATCAATAAAGGTATCATCACTGTACCTCTTCAGAACTGTTTTATTTCATTCAATATTTAGAGATGAAGGATAAGTATTTAACTTCTTACACACATTTGATAATTTTTCAGTATTAGTATTATATAAAACAACCCCCTTTAATAGTAAAGGAAGTGATGTTCTGCCAGAATCTGTCACCGTTTACATGGCAGTTATTCCTCTGTGTAAGAAACACAGATTTCACAGTTGCAAAACCTGCAAAGTCATCAAGTCAATAAATATCTTCTTGAGAATGAGTTATGTTTCAGACTTAGTAATTTGTGGAGTACGCTTGCATTATTTTATTTTGATAGCAAGACCAATAAAATTATATTTTGCAGATTTGGTATTGAGTTGTATGTCAAACTGTATTTCATACTTCACATTGCTGACTTGCAGTATAATAGTTAGAATATTCTAACTATTAGAATAATCTAAATATTAGAATATTCTTATGTTTATTTGCTCAAATCCCGTAGCAAACCAATAATTTTTCCTGCTATACTATTAAAATCTTAACAATAATGCAATTATGTAAAAACTGGAATGTTTGTTTCATTCATCATATCCCTATTAGTTTGTTTTACAATCTGTTTATATGTATACATAGATTTATATGGGTCACTGCCTCTAGTGTCAAAATATTCCATTCTGAAGCATAATTGTGAATATAACATGCCATACTCTCTCTTCTGCTGATGTAATCTTGTAGATTTCTTATTTTCCTCATCTATTTTCAGCATACATACCTGTGCTTGCAATAACCATGATTAGGTATACCTCATCAGTACAGATCCTACAGGTTTCCATAAAACTAAAATTTTGAAAATTTATAATTTTAACATTTTTATGGTCTTATTTAAACAGACAGAGGCTGGGTTATGATTTGTCAATAGACACCATTTCAGGGAATCAGCAAATATCTGGAAATGTCTGAGGTCAGAACTGAAAGTTTGGACCATTTATAAGATTGGGGAAGGTAGATGTTGGGAGAGGCTGACAGAATTAATTTGTTTATGTAAATTTAATCTTCCTGGCTGACTTTCCTATAAACATGCTGGACTCAAAATGTTCAAACTCTGGGACTCAAGAAATCCAGCATGTAGCTGTAAAGCATGCCAAAGACCTTACTGAAGTATCAGATGGGATAGGCTCTGCTTATAGAAAGAACGCTTCATTTCAGCATATATATGTAAATGTAATTCATTTATCTCAAAGTTCTATTTACCAGCATTTTTATCATCCACATTTTGGTAAACAAGTACATTTACTGAAAGTATGTTTTCACAAGAGTTTAGCTATTATTGAAATTCAGAAGAGGCATAGTCCAAAAGAAAGCATATTCACTCTAATAAAGCTCTTTCACACTTTAAGTAAATAGCTTTAACAGTTTCTCTGGCAAAACACTTCTCAGTGTATTTGTTTATGTTGAATAAACACAGTTTTGTCTCTTTTGAGAAATGTGTGTTGAGAAACCCTTTGCCTTTCCCACTATGTTGGTTAAATATACCTTTTATTATTTTGTTTCCCCAAAATACATTAACTAGAGCAGACAGGTTGAACTCATGACTTGTCACATGCACTCCAGTGCAAAGCCTGACAAATGCATACATTGAATTCACAGATTTTAGTGTCTTTCCTTGCTGGCTAGCAAATGCCTCTTTGTAAGCATCAGTAGATACCCAATTGCTTCAAAAATATGGATTACTCCTGTGCAGCTGAGATCTGGCATAATAATGGATCATTAAATATTATGACTATAGACATAACAAGTAAATTAAACTTGGGCAATTATTCCCAGTTCAAAAAGCAAAACTGAAACAAACAGAAATCAACATTTAATTAAGATAAAGCAATATAAATAAAATCCAAAATATGGGCATTGAGTGAGAAGAGACTGTAAGATGTTTCAGAAACACTATGATGGATAAAGAGTAACAGTCAAATGAAGAAGCAGTAGCAGTCACTCAAATTGAATGTTTTGACATTTTATTTAGAAGATGGGATGTTTCTGAGAAATAAGACAATAAAGCTTTTTAGAGAAAATAAACTAAACAAAGGTCATACATAAATCATTCTGCAATGTCAGTAATTGTTTTAGGTATTTTTTTCCTGCACAGTTAAAATATGATGATATATGATCCTAGCACATAGCTCCCTCATAAAAACACTTCTTTATTAACTCAGAGAATCTTAAATAGAAGAGAGTATTAGTGAAAAAAAAAATCTGGCTCATAATGCATAATTTTCATACTTTGTTGGTTGATACAGTCTCCTCCCAATCTTAGAATATACAATTTCACCTTTTTAAATGAAGATTGTGTTAAATTGCTCTTTATATTTCATTCTGTGAATCTTTAAATATTTTCTCCTATGAATAATTATTTTGCATTTCAGTATTTATTACCAACTTAAATATCTTTCAGATTCCTCAAGGGACACAGATGATGTGTCTCCAGGTATTTTGGTTTATCCATAATACACAAACTAGAGGAGCTTTTAGTGCTAAATTAATGGACCTTTCTTGTCTAAGCACCTAATTTTCTCTTATGTCTCTGGACCAACAACTATTGTCAGTGTTAAAACTAATTTGCTACAAAATGTCTAGAGCTCTGACCTTTATTTTATACTTAATGAACTCTATCTACAATTCTGTCATGACATGTGACACTCTGACTCAAGGTCAAATGATACCCAGTAAAAACAGAAAGATTGCCCAATGTTACAGACATTCTAAAAAACAACAAGCTAGAAGGAAGGAAAAAAATCAGAAATCTTTGAACTGGTACCTTTTTTAACTACTTGGAGATGAAGGCAGGTAAAGATTTAAGGCAGACAGAGGTGCAAAACAAGGCCAAATTGCAACTGTAAATTATATTATTTTTACTATGTTTATAAAAATGTGTGAACTCCCAGTAATTTCTGAAATATCCTTGCACTGTACAGCCAAATTCTCTGTGAATTTCTGCCTGACTTGATGTTCAAGTGTATATATATATAGTGCTGTTACGAGTATTCCCCTAATAGGATGAAGTGAGATGCAAAATTTAATAGCTACAGATGATAGGGAGAGAAGTTTTACTATTTCTAGATTCCACAGGATAACTCTTTGGCCTATTTAATTTGAAAAAAAGAAAAAGCCACATAAGCAAAATACTTCTGCCCTAAATAAATGTCAATCAAATCAAACACTAAATTTCAATCAATACTGTAGCATAATATTATTGACAAAATACATCAAGGTATCATATTGGGTTCTGTGCTCTCCCACAGGCATATTCTGACCATGTGCCAAAGCAAGCCTGTGTCAATGGAACATTAAACACACCCAGCAGCTAAGCATAAACAGAAGCAACAGATTGACACATTCAGACAAATTACTATCTTCTACTTTTTTTTATCTTAGTATTGTAAAAAAAAAAAAAAAAGAAAATAAGCCAGGAAATAATATACTAAAATATTTAATTACTTTAAATTCTTCTCTTAGAGAAAAGGAAGAGTTCTGGTTATATGCAGAAAAATTTACCAAACGACAAAGACTGCAGAAACTACATTTCAAGACTGTGATCCAGGAGACAATAAAGTTCCCCTACTATACACCTAGATGGGATATTAAGAAACTGAATTTGGGAAATGCAAGGTATAGTTATTGTAGCTAAACCAAAGTAAATTTGGAATATTTTAAAAATCTCAATCTAATCTCAAAAGGCACTTTTCCACATCTACTTCATCAGGTTGTGAATTTCATCAGGGAATCTCAGTGTTGGTAGTAACAGACCTGTGGCATGTGGAATTAAAGCCTTTGTGCCTACTCATTTGGGGAATCACACTATTTCTTTAGTAACATCCATTTTAAACATTCTAAATTTGGGATTTATAACATTTAACACAAAGGGCATCACAAAATAAGAAAAAAAAAAAAACCTAGAAAATTTTGAGCAACTCTCTGGGAAATAATTTTTACGGAGCAGAAAAAAGAAGATACAGTCCAGGGGATTTAAGTGCAGAAAAATTATTAGCACAATTCAGCTATGAGAAGGATTCTGAAATTATTTTCCTGTTTTGCTTTTTTTCCTCAATATAGAATTTGTAATGAAATTTACGGACTAGCTTTACTTCAGTTCCTACATAATTCCTTAGCAGAAAACAATTGGCTCTATTGAGACCAGAATTAGACATTAAATAGATGCTACCAATCTAGCTCATTTTAGGAAACAATTAACTAAATGGACTATTTATACACACAGAGAATACTTAGCTCAGCTCATTATGAAGCTAGTTCACATTAACAACAAACAAAGCTCCTTTAAAACTACAAAGGACTGTAATCTGTTCATTAACAGATGGATGCACAATGCATCACTTATTTGAACTTATAGAAACAATTCATCTTTCTTAATGTGTTTGGGACAACAGCACGGTTACCCAGT